AGCCAACACTCCAGAAGACAGGCTTAAGATACAGAAGGATCTGGACAGACTTGAACACTGGGCACTAACTAACAAAATGAAATTCAATGGTGAAAAAAGCAAGGTTGTACATTTAGGCAAGAAAAACCAAATGCACAAGTACAGCATAGATGGCACCATGCTCAATAGTAGTAACTGTGAGAGGGACCTCGGAGTCCTAGTAGACAATCACCTAAATATGAGCCAGCAATGTGTTGCAGCTGCCAAAAAGGCCAACACAGTGCTAGGCTGCATTAACAGAGGGATAGAATCAAGATCATGTGAAATATTAATACTACTCTTCAATGCCTTGGTAAGGCCACACTTGGAATACTGCATCCAGTTTTGGTCACCACGATGTAAAAAAGATGTTGAGACTCTAGAAAGAGTACAGAGAAGAGCAACAAAGATGATTAGGGGACTGGAGGCTAAAACATATAAGGAATGGTTGCTAGAATTGGGTATGTCTAGTTTAACGAAGATAAGGACAAGGGGGGACATGATAGCAGTATTCCAATATCTCAGGGGCTGCCATAAAGAAGAGGGAATTAAGCTATTTTCCAAAGCACCTGAAGGCAGGACAAGAAGCAACGGGTGAAAACTAATCAAGGAGAGAAGCAACCTAGAACTAAGGAGCAACTTCCTGACAGTGAGAACAATTAATCAGTGGAACAGCCTGCCTCCAGAAGCAGTAAATGCTCCAACATTGGAAGTTTTTAAGAAGAGATTGAACAGCCATTTGTCCGAAATGGTGTAGGGTTTCCTGCCTGAGCAGGGGGTTGGACTAGATGACCTCCAAGGTCCCTTCCAACTTTACTACTATTACTATCTCTGTAGCATCTTTTCAGTAATAGTATTTTTAATTCTTCTTAGTAAAGTGTTTTCACATTAAATTAGAGCGATTTGTAATCAGATCATACATGATCTAGATTGCATGTAGTTCTGGCTCATGCTACATTTGCTGACTCAGTATGGATTCAAATAAAGCTAATAAAACAAATACAAGTTTAAAGTGGATGAACATAATTTGTGTTACAGAAGCTTTTTGAGTCAGACTATATCTACCTGGAGGAACGTTGTCCATGGGGTCGCGATGGGTCGGACACGACTTCGCAATTAACAACATATCTACGGGATGTATATGGGCTACTATTGGATCCATTGCATGATCGAGCCAACCACATTACAACAGAAAGGGCCAACTGGAACTGCTTTCAAGAATGTGTAAAAAAATCTTTCAAGAAATTCTCAACTCTGTAACTTTGCAGTTATTTTGAAAATAAGAGTTATATGACCATTTCTTCTGTTAGCTGTAGTGTACTAGTCCATTCAATGTTAATAAAGGTTTGAAACAAGCCAAATTCATAATATATTATGAAGCTAACTTGTTCTAAGGAACCATTGTTTACAAGATCCTGAGTTTAGAATTTTGATGACATGTTAATGATTAATTATAACTTAAAATAAGAGCTTCAGAAAAGGAAAGGCAAAATTGGAGTGGATAAGCCTGAGGTTTGTCTTTTTCCCCCTCACATCACATTAAAAACAGTGTAGCACAATGGTTAGATACAGCTATAGTTTCATTAAGGTAGTCCTCATTTAATGATTACCCTGTTTAGTGAACATTTGAAGTTGCAGTGGTGCTAAAAAATAATGATCACACTTGTAAATGTTACACAACCTCTGCAGTCATTTGATTAAGATTTGGGCACTTGATGGGCCTTTACAACTGTGCAGTGTCCCACAGTCATCATTTGCATACTTCACAGCCAGCTTCCAAAAGCAGAATCAATAGATAAGCTGGCATCATGGTCACATGATGTCTCACTTAATTTCCATGAGTAATTTGCTTAGTGGCCATCTCAAAAGTAAGATTGTAAGTCTGTTGCGGTCACATGATATCTTGCTTAACTACCAAATCACTTTTTGTCATTGAGTGATAATGTGTACTTTTAATTTATAAAACCTAAATATACCACTTTTTTTGCAGAAATACATACCCACTGTGTAATCAGGACCAAATGAGACAAAAGCATATATTTTCAAAAGAACACAACAAATCTTAGCAGGAAGGAAAGGGAAGGGAAAAAAGGGATTTTTATTTCCTAAAAATCATTAAATTCTAAACTTGTGGAAAAGAAAATTGATGGCCATAACTGAGAAGGCTCAGTTACTGGACATATTTTATATTGTATTTTTTCTATATGAGTCATTGTGATTGAAGTGACATAGAAATATAGTTATAATAATAAAATATAATAAAATAAACTAACAAACAAATACATTTTAAGCCATCTTCCCAGTTTTAACTTCATTCATCTGCTCAGTCAACTAACAATTAATCCATTCTTGAGAGTTAAGGAGGAGGAAGAGGAAGAAATGTCCCTTTAGATTTGGGATTGCCAACCTCCAGTCCCACAACTCCATGTGCCCGCGGTTGATCAGGCCACACAAACACTGCCAATCTTAATGTGAATATGCATAATATTGACTTTAATTTAAATTTAATTAAAGGGTTTCTGTTTACTACCCTTGGCACAACACACAAAAGTGTACCTTTAGCTGTTTCTATATCCTGGGTTCAAGCTTTGAAGATGAAAATCATCAATACACTGAAATGATTGTAGAAATGGATTGGCAGCCAGTGCAAATATCAAAATACTGGAATCATATGACCATATCAGCAAATATGATCAGAGCTAGCAGTTCTGTTTCAGATTTGCTGAAGCCTTTGAACACTCTTCAAAGGTGGCATTAAACAAAATCCATTGCATCAGTACAGCTGTGGGTTGACTAGAACATGGCTAAGTGATGGCTCACAATTCCTGTCCAAATAGGGTTAAAGCTTGTACATCTTTTTGAGCTAATAAAAGGCACCCTTCTATTCTGAAGTTATTTATGCATCCAGTGACAATGATAGAATCTTTTAGTAATGCAGAACCAGGATAACTTACATATGATGCATTCCCCGTGTAACAGACTAAACCATTTTCAGCAGGGCAAAAATGCAGAAACTAAACATACTTCTGTATTTTGTATACACATTCTGTATTATATGATTTGTCTGAAATGGTATAGGGTTTCCTGCTTGAGCAGGGGGTTGGACTAGAAGACCTTCAAGGTCCCTTCCAACTCTGTTATTCTATTATTATCTGGATCCAACTTCAATGTATTTGCTCTGACTCAATCCATTCTCCTGTTCGTGTGGGACATCTAGAGTTTCACAAGAATGATTTAAAAAGAGAATAAAGGTTCATGTCATTAACACACTATGACATCCTCACCTTTATTTCCAGAGAAGCTACCCTCCTCGTCACATATAAATGTCAATAGTTTGAATGAATTTGAACTCTGTAGGACCCATAATGCAGTTGCCAAGAAACAGAGCCAAAAAAATCACATCGTCTCTTTCAGGAGACAGGCATCCGATCATGAAAGTGAAATGCTGATTTCATTTAAACTGATCATTTAAAGCTAGAAATGACTGACCATTAGGAATATAATGGATAATCAAAGTTCCTTCTGTGTGCAGCTATTCCAAAAAAGGTAAATTCTATGTTGGAAATCATCAGAAGCAGCAGCAATTAAATTATACTTTCAATCTCTTAATGCCTTTTCACAAATCTGTCCTGCAATAATACTTGGAATTTTTCTACATTCTGATTAGCATCCCTCAAAATGGATGTTGTAAAAGCTGGAAAGTGCAATAAAAAAGTAACTACAGTAGAATGTTTAAGCAGCTGGAGTAACATCCCTACAATAAAGCAATATGACACTCAGAAATGTAATTTAAGGGAAAAGAAAATATAGGAAAATTTGAAAAAATGTATATAATAATATAAAGATGAAATATGAGAAGTTTTTTTCTTCCCCTCTCCTAATGCCAAAACTTGAGGTGACCCAATAAAACTGTTAGAGCAATAACTACATTTGTCACCTAACATGAGCTAGCAAAATTGTTACCATGCTTAATCACCAGTCTCTTAATATGCTTACTAAATAAGTGTACCATCTGCAGTTATCTCAGTATTATAAATCCTTGAGGGTGGGCTACTGTGAGATGTGTCACCAATCCAACAAGAGTCAGACCACCAACATGACATGCCTTGATGAGCCTTTCCCCTTGGTCTTTTATCCATGAACAATTACATTGCACTAACTCTCCATTTATCTTCATTGATATAGGTAGTCTTCATCTTACAACTATTCATTCAGCAGCCATTTGAAATGATGACAATGCTGAAAAAAATGAGTTTACCGCCTGGGCCCAAAGTTATGGCCAATTAGGTGTCCCCTGTGGTCACTTAATCAAGATTTGGGTGCTTGACACCTCCGACCACATGGCTGCTGCAACCCAATTATCCTCTCCCTGATCAATGCCCTTTTAGCCATCTTGAATAGGAAGCACAGTGCCGATATTGGAGCTAAAGTAGAAGCCCTGGGCCTTCAGCAGTCTCAGCCAGCTGTCATCATTCCTGGTCCTCAATTTTAGCCCCAGGACCAAAAATGACACATTGAAATCCAATCCAGTCCAATCCTTTATTTGCTTGCACCTGATGGACAAAATCTTGCTAAACTAAGGCTATAACTCTCTAACCTAATAGATATACTCTAAATCTTTTTCCCCATCTACTTTGGGACTGTGAAGTCTCTTAATTTAGGTTTTTCTCTGATGGAATGTACTGCCTCTTGTCCAGGTGCACATTCCATCACATTCCCTATCCCTCCTGCAGCATCCTCATGTGTCTTATTGGGAGCTCCCTCCACTTAACAACCTGTGATTTTTGGTGACAGCAGCAGTGATTGCAGTTGTGATTGCTAAGTGATGTGGTCATGTGACATGTTGCTTTACAACTATATAGTTCAGTGACAGAAATTCTAGTTTCAGTTGTAGTCGTCAGCTGACAACTACCTGTAACTTTAGATTTCTCTTTTGAGAACTAATATTTACATTTATAGATAGAAAAAGAAAGAAAACTCACCTGAAACATTTGTCTTACTTTTCTTCTCGGCAGGTTGACATTCAGTTTATGCATCAACTGATGAATCTCTTCAATATTCAGCAAACCATCACCATTCTTATCAGCTTCCTGAAAAGTCTGCTTTACCCAAGTGGAGACAAATTAAGGAAAATATAAACTCCCTTTATCAAAATATTGGGATACACTTTTACATTATTGAGAAAAATGCAAAAGTGTAAAGAAAGGTTACGTAAATCAGTGCATAGTGGTAAGAACATACAGCACAGAAGGTATCAGCTTGTTTCTTTTAAAAATACATATATGAATGGGAAATAAGGAAGGTACAAAGCCACTAACAGTGCTGCTTTATATTATGATGCAATGGAATATACCTAGTACTAAACCAGTTCCAAACTGAGTACCCTACAAAAACTTTAAAGCTACAGTTTTTAAAATTCCAGGATTTGGGAGGGTTAGGAAGAAGGCTGCACTTACTTATTACACAATAACTAAAACCAAAGTTAATTAAAAACCAAGTTATTAGTTGGACCTCTTCTTGTGGCAGCCCAGTTTTGGAAAGATGTCATATGTCTTAAGATAAACTTGAAATGATGTCCATTTAAAAGAGCCCCTAGAGATACAAAACTGAAGTTGATATGATTAGAAAGATAATTTGCTAATATACACTGAGATCATCACTGGTGATGTCCCTTTGTGTCACATTACATTAGCCAGCTAATTCTTCAACTCCATTTATTCATGTACAGTATACCATTATCACCTTGCTTCATTCATTCATTCATTCATTCTTATTTCTAAATTGTTTCTAAATTAAGAACCTGCAGCCAGTTTAGTTATAACACAAGAAAGCAATTTTCATCGTAGTAACACTTTCCAATGTCTTCTGAACAGGACAGGTAAATTTCTTCCTAAGTGGCAGAATTTTCAGAAAATACTCAAGTGCAAAGAAGTTTACAAAGCAAAATTACAATGTTGATGTAACATGTACTAATTACTACAAATAACCCTCTTAGCCTAATCTAATGTGTTAAATGTTGGCTATAATAACAGAATGAATGTTAAATACAGTAACAAGGAGTCCTTCGTGCTCACTTTCTTGCAGATGTTTCATTAGCCAAGCTAGATAACCTCATCAGTGCTAAAACAGAATGGGGTTTGCTCTGTTTATATTCTAGGGGGGGATCAGTATTGATGGAGGATGATCTTAGGGGTTCTTTGGTTGGGCTGTTCACTGTTAGCATGTTTTGCAGTTCCTTGATTGGGGTATTGTTTACTTCTTCATTGTTGGTCTGATGTTAATCTTGGTGTTAACCTGCATTCATGTGGGTGCTGATGGCTGGGGGAGAGGTGTTTTGGTCTTTTTGTTAGCTTTTGGGCTTGTTAGTTTTTGTTTCCATTGGCTCAGTAACATATAAACAGAAATTGACCCAAGCAAAGGGATTTTTCATCCTCTTCAATTCTTCTGGAGTAGACTGTGAAGGGCTACATGGATGATCCACTAGTACTGGAAACAGTACTGTTATCTGTGTTTCCCTGAAAATAAGACCAGGCCTTATATTAATTTTTGCTCCAAAAGATGCATTTGGGTTTATTTTCCAGTTAGGTTTTATTTTCGGGAAAATACGGTACCAAATGTGTCCATCTGGCTGATGATCTTAACTGGGGGCGGGGCTTATATTATGAGTATTCTGAAAAATCATGCTACGGCTTATTTTCCAGTTGGGTCGTATTTTGGGGAAAACACAGTAGTAGAACAACATTGCCATGCTGAGTATTGCAGCTTAGTCTTTGCCTGCAACTGTTTCCCCCACTACCAATGGACATTTCACAATGCTGGAAGAAATCGTTTGGCTCCACTATGGCCCAAATATGAATTCTCTTCACAAAGAGCTTTTCTGATCACAATAAAAGGAAGTTACCATAGTTTCCGGCATATAATACGACTTTCTCAAGCTTTAAAATTGGTGCCGAAGTCGGGGGTCATCTTATACACCGAGTCGTCTTATACGCCGGAAATAACGGTAGTTTCCGGCGTATAAGGTGACTTTCTAGGCATACGACTTGGCGCCGAAGACGGGGTCGTCTTATATGCCGGGTCGCCTTATATGCCGGAATATATGGTACACTGGAAATATTCCTATGGCCAGTGGGCATATTCTTTCTATTGCAAATAAATGCACAGGGAATTATTTTGATCTGAACCGTAAGTGCTTAAACTTCCTCTTTTACCCAATTGATCCAATTTAGCTTCTTCCCCTCTCTGGGCTGGTCATTTATTTTAAAGAAATAGTTCTCAATGGATCAATCCTATTCCATCTGGTTTGGTTCTTCTTCCATAATTTAATAACCCATTAATTCTAGTGATTTTTTTCCTTCAATTGGTCCCTGTTCACTTCTGACAAATGGAACAGAGGCATTTTCTTTAGGAATTCATACCCTTCAGTGTCTGCCATTATATCCTCACTCCAGCTGGAGCTGCTACAGGGCCCATTTCTCTGTGCAGTCATCCATCTGCCAGAACTGATCATGCAAACAAGGCTTGAAGAAATACTTCTGCATAACCAAATGCATGGCAGCCATGTGAAGCCTCCAAAAGCCGGAAAGATAGAAATTACATAAGTAATTTATGGAGTAATTAGCCATAAAATGATGGCAAATGTTTCTCTGCCTTACGATAGCAAGAGCTAAAATTCGGAAATGAGAATATTTGGCATTTTTTTTCTTTTTAACTTGGCAACTTGGGACAAATCAAACCATTTCATCATTCAATATCCTCACTGGGGGAAAATATGCTTTTTTCAGAGCATAATCTTTTTGGAATGAAATATCCTTTGGCCCTAGAGATTGGTCCTTAGGTTAATTTATGTGATCTTTAATTAAACACGATGTCCAAAATTACCTTGTATTCTCCCTCTGTCTCTTTCACACATACAGTGTTTTGTTTCTGAAACTCTGATGTTTGTACAGTAATCCTGGTTTAATGATTGCTGCCCCTTTGTTCTAAAATGAATTGCATATGGTTGTGTGTTTTGTTTTTAGTGTATTTGTGGAATGGACAAATAGATTATAATATCTGAGTAAAATACAAAACACACAATGAATAATAACCCAACACAAACAAATTGACATTTTACTATCTCATAAAGCTATCTGAGTAGAGGTCACATAATATCTAAAGACATGATGTGATTAAAATACTAAGCCACTTCATCCATGGAGAACCTTGAAAAGAACTGTACACTCACTATCACTCCATGTTTCTGTTTTATATTCTTGCCATGATTAACATAAATCAAAGCAGAATCTCCAAGCTGATTGTCCTAATTCTGCATGCTGTGATGGCAAATAAAAGCAGCGAATAAATAAACAGAAACTATAGCAGAGGGTAAAAATTACACATTTTCTCCAAAGGGGTCAATCAATACAGAATTAAAAGAGAGGTCATGGTTTCATATGAATAGAGATGATCAGACTCACCAGTTTAGGAACTAAATTGCTGCTTCTTTCTAATGAATCATTAAAGACTACATTTGATTACAAGTAGATGGGAGCCAATTAAAATAATTGATCAACACCTCTCTGTTATTCATTTTTTCCACATTTCTGCTCCAGTCTAGGGGGGAAAAACTGCTCTGATAGTTGCTCTATGTGCTGCATTAACTTTAATAAGTCAACTCCTTAAAGGAACCAGGGTTATTTTTTAGACCAACATAAAAGCTTGAAAATAAATAAATGCTTGTTTTATATGCAACAGAAAAGTGCTGTGTTCATGAAAAATCTAAAGAAATTCTTCCACATCATTTTCAAGTAACTTAGAAAAAACTATAAAATAATATTCCCATGGATGGGACCAGTTATTATAATTGGAGCCCATTTAACTATTTTGTAATGGCTGATGGACTTGAAAGGGTTCAACCATGTTGTAACCCTATAAATGTCTATAATGAGAATTGCCATTGAAAATAGATCTTGTATGTGTGATAAATAACTGTGAATTCTAGTCCCACTTTAGGCATGAAAGCTAGCTAGGTGATTTTGGGCCTGAGTCAGTCTCTCTCTCTCAGCCCAGCTCATCTCATAGGTGAGGAAAAAAGGAGGAGGAAGGAGTATTATGAATTTCATCACCTTGAATTACCTACAAAGTAATAAAAGTGGCATAAAACAAATTATTAATAAATAAATAAATATAGATCAATCAGACTCACTATACTGAGTCCCAGAATAGAATGCTTTGAAAGGATATTGATCATGTGTTCTCTGTCTTTTAGCAAGTGAGTCTTCATCACTTATCCCAGCCATCAAATATTTTAGCCCAGTGATCCAGGTACGTGCTTCCTCTGAGTTAGAAGTTATCAGATCCAATGATTCCATATGATTGCCATGGTAAATTGTAAAGCAGCAGCTTGGATCAAAGTTGCCCTCTGCATGGCGATGGAATATTTCTGATTGCCAACCTTCAGTGACTTTGTAGATAGAATCAATTATGACTGTGAAAACAATAATAAAACTGTATAATCCAGTTTATCATATAGCTGATTGCAATATTCCATTCCACATTAATAAATTAATCCAGGAACTAATTTATCCATGATAATGAATTAATTCAGAAATGCACAACTTCTGTAAACTTCATATATAGCTTTGCTTTTCATGGCAAGGGTTGCATTCTGAAAGTGGCCTTAAGCCTGAATCCATTCTTGCCCTACAAAATCCATCCAAAGGAACTCCCCAAAATACAAAACAGTGAAATTAAATATTTGACCACACTCATGTAGGAGATCAGCACTTTTTGTACCTTCAATTAAAAAAAACATCTATGGGAAAAATAAATTGTCATAAAATTGTAGCAGGAATTATAAATGCCTTCTTTTTTTTTATTGAAAATTTTTAGGTTTTACAAAAAAAAAAAAAAAAGATTCCCCTCCCCCACCCTCCCCCAATCTTCCCAGAGCTGAATAAGGCTTAATTAAAAAAAATTTAAAAGAATCTTGAAACACTTATAAACCATAAACAAATCTAAATACGTTAATTAAACAAATTATAAAATAATTAACAACAATATATAAAAAATACAAGAAGAAAGAAAAGAAAAAAACAGAAAAAGAAAAAAATAAAAATAAAAGAAAATATCTAAGAAATATCTTAAACTTTAATTATAAATTATTCAAAAACTAAGTAATATTTTTTTATATCCAACTTATATTGTATGAAATCTATCCATTTTTTCCATACCAGGAGATACTTCTCCTGCAATTGATCTTTCAAGAAAGCCGAAATCTTTGCCATTTCCGCCAAATAAGAAACTTTAAAAAACCGTTCCTGCAATGTAGGCAAAGATTCCTTCTTCCAACATTGCCTACTAACAACCTGGCCGCTGTAATTAAATTTAACATCAATATAATCTCTTTACTGTCACAATCAGAAACAATACCTAACAAAAACAATTGTGGGATAAATTTTATCCTTCTTCTGAAAATTCTTTGAATATTCCACCATATTTTAATCCAAAAAGCTTTTATATTTTTACATAACCACCAGATATGGTAATAAGTAGCATCCAAACATCCACATCTCCAACATTTAGGCTGCAAGTCAGGATACATACGAGACATTTTTTGTGGATCAAGGTGCCATCTATAAAACATTTTATAAAAGTTTTCCCTTAAATTTTGGGCTTGTGTAAATTTAACATTCCTCACCCAAATAATCTCCCAGGTATCTAATAAAACCGGTTCCTCAAAATTTTGTGCCCATTTAACCATACATTCTTTAACTAATTCTGCTTTTGAATCCAACTCTACTAACACCCCGTAAATTCTCTTAATGTGAGTTTGTCTTTGATCTTTTATTTGTTTTAACAAATTCTCATCTTCTCTAAGCAAACCCAAATTACGATCTATCTTCCACCTCTCTACTATTTGTCTATACTGAAACCATGAATAAATAATATTTTCTTATGTTAAATCTTCCAGAGATTTTAATTGCCAATTTTTACCATCCCATCTAAGTAATTGTGCATAAGAAACACTATCGATCTTGACTCCTCTCCTTATCCCTTCTGTCGCATGCCATGGTATAGCCCATAATGGAATTTTAAAATAATTTCTATAATATTTCTTCCAAACCCAAAGTAAAGAAGTCCTTATAATATGAGATTTAAAAACCCTGTCAACCTTTTTATTGAAAATTAAATAGGCATGCCATCCGAAAAGCAAATCCCAACCCTCTAAGAGGAGTACTTCTACATTTGTTAAATTAACCCAATCACTAATTAATGTTAAAGCCACAGCATCATAATACAATTTCAAATTCGGTACCTTGAGTCCACCCCTCTCATGAATATCTTGTATAACTTTAAGTTTTACTCTTGGTTTTTTCCCTGCCCAGATAAATTTATTGATACCTTTCTGCCATTCATTTAAATTAACCTCATTCTTTAAAATGGCTATCATTTGAAATAAAAAAAGAAACTTTGGCAAAACATTCATTTTAATCACCGCAATTCTCCCCAAAAAAGATAATTGCAGCTTCTCCCAATTTTCCAAATCTCTTTGTATTTTGACCCACAACCTTTCATAATTATTTTTATACAATTTGGCGTTAGAAACAGATAAAGTAACCCCCAGATATTTTACCTTGTTAACAACCTCAAAATCTGTCAACCTAACCAAGATCTCCTATCCAAATTAGTCATATTTTTAGGCAATATTTAAGTCTTATTATTGTTAATTTTAAAACCCGAAACCTGTCCATACTGATGTATCAATTGTAATAACTCTATTACAGAATAAGTAGGTTGAGATAAAGTAACAACCAAGTCATCTGCAAAAGCCCTTAATTGAAAAATGCCTTCTTCTTAATATATGACTCCACGGACATAAAAGCTAACAAGGAATACATACCACAAAAGGAATTTTGCTTATTCACCAAAACTATGTAAAAAAGAGAGATGAGTTAAGCATGACTTCCTTTGACATACAGATAGTCCTCGACCTACGAGCCCAATTGAGCCCAACATTTCTGTTGTTAAGCAAGACGGTTATTACATGAGTTTTATTACTTTTCTTGCCACAGTGAAGAATGAAGCGCTGTACTTGTTTAGCTAGTAACATGGTTGCTAAGTCAACCTGGCTCCCCCATTGACTTTGCTTCTCAGAAGGTCACAAAAACTGATTAAACGATCCCGGGACATTGCAAGCATCATAAATATGAACAATTGCTAATGTCTCAATTTTGATCATGTGACCAAGGGCAAGCTGCGATAGTCATAAGTGTGAAAAGGGGTCATAAATTACATTTTTTCAGTGTTGTTGTAACTTTGGTCACTATACGAACTGTTGTAAGTTGAGGACTACCTGTACAGATGATAATATAAAATGTATTTTACATTATGATCTTGTGTTTGTCTTATGTGCTCACTTATTTTTAGCCTATGTATAAAGAAGCTCCAGAAGAGAACGGGAGATCAAGTGCTCTCCTTCCTATGCCTGCCAGTCTTAATTTGAGGTGGTTAATCCTGGCACCAGGCTTAATCACAATCATTCCTGGTGATGGACTAATGCTGTGGGGAACAGCTGGCACCCATTTTTAATAAACATAAAACACATGAACTTGGGAATTAAAAGGAGCATCACAGGACATGCACAGTAAATCATAACTTCAAAAGAACTTACTTTTTGCCTTTTCACTTTTCCTGGATGGCCTCCATCTGATGCACGTCCTGTGCTCATCAAGATAAAAAAGACGCACCAGCCCCTTGGCTCCATGTTTCAGCTTAATCATCTGAGTCCCAGACTGCATAACACTCATACATCTTTCAACTAAAGGAGGAAAGATTGCAACAATTTTAACCAGCATCCCTAATTTATGTTGCTGCATAATTAGTGCAATAATTATCTATAAAATAGTTACTGCATTTATCTCTCAATCTTCACTTTGCATAAAAAGGGGCAAATAATTATAAACACATGTAATGCTGGAATTATTTCTGTGCATCTTTTTAAACTGAGTATTTAAAAAACAAAATATTTTGAAAATATCTTTCTTTCTAATACATTTTTTTTTCATTTTCATACGCATCTAATAACCATACAGTTTAGGCTATATAGCATTTTCCCAAAGCTTTAAGCTCAGAGGAGAGAAAATTTTGGAAAGAAACCCAACAGTGTATCATTTTCAGTTAACAAGAGAACTTGGTATTCATACCTGAATATATGAACATACATAAAACATACATGGATACACAGAGATATTATTTCCTTTCCTTCTGTCTATGTAGATCAGCTCCTCTAATTGTCTACTTTCTTTTGGCCCATTTCCATAGTTCCATTGATCAATTATTTCTATCAGAACTGGGCAGAATTATTTCATGCTTTTTTATGTAAGAGGGATCTCAGAGTCCTAGTGGACAATCACTTAAATATGAGCCAGCAGTGTGCTGCAGCTGCCAAAACAGACAACAAAGTGCTGGGCTGCATTAACAGAGGGATAGAATCAAGATCACGTGAAGTGTTAATACCACTTTACAATGCCTTGGTAAGGCCACACTTGGAATACTGTATCCAGTTTTGATCACCACGATGTAAAAAAGATGTTGAGACTCTAGAAAGAGTACAGAGAAGATCAACAAAGATGATTAGGGAACTGGAGGCTAAAACATATAAGGAATGATTGCTGGAATTGGATATGTCTAATTTAATGAAGAGAAGGATGAGGGGGGACATGATAGCAGTGTTCAATATCTCAGGAGTTGCCACAAAGAAGAGGGAGTGAAGCTATTCTCCAAAGCACCTGAAGACAGGACAAGAAGCAACAGATGGGAACTAATCAAAGAGAGAAGCAACCTAGAACTAAGGAGCAACTTCCTGACAATTAGAACAATTAATCAGTGAAACAACCTGCCTCCAGAAGTTGTGGATGCTCCAACGCTGGAAGTTTTTAAGAAAAGACAGGACAATCATTTGTCTGAAATGGTATAGGGTTTCCTGCCTGAGCAGGGGGTTGGACTATAAAATCTCCAAGGTTCCTTCCAACTCGATGATGATGATGATGATGATGATGTGATAAACTACAGACTACAAATCAGTAACATTTTTCGAAGGTCAACACCATCATGAGCACAAAAAAAAGTTCTCAAATATCAAATATAAAAAAACCCAGATACTAAAACACATAATTACACAATTTCACTGTTGAGACTGTAAGATTTTATGAAAGAACACTGAAAACCAGTAAAAGAAATAATTGATGTCATTCAGAATTTTTCCTTGATCCACTCAAAGGGATGTTAACAGTAGAGAAGCTTATTCATATATCCTTTCATTGGCAAATTATGAATAAATCAAAACTCATGGAAGAGAGAAACAGATCAAAACTTGAAGAAGTAAGAAAGAAAATACATTGAGTAATAAATTCAATATTTATCATTATTTGGTTCAAACAACAGTTTGAAATTGTGTATCATTGTTGTTCAGGCATTCTAAGGATCAAAAACATGCAAACAAATGTACAGCCTTGTAATATACTATCCTAATGAATAAGACAAAGGGATCAACTGTATTATCAATTAATATTTTAAAGTCTAATTAGCATTTAATATTTGTATTATTATTAACAATATTTACAAGTCATCTAATTCCAACATTCTCTACACACTCATGAGAATATAAAATGTGTATATTTGTACCTATAAAATACTTCTGATTAAATATAAAAAATTTGCAAAGGGACATTTATTCAAAGCAATACAGTCCAGGATGAGAATGCATAAAGCTCAGCATGTGGACATATATAACAGCATTAATATATACTAATATATAAAGGATTGCCAGATTCCAGAAGACGAAACACTTTATAACTTCTGCTTACACAATAGGGCTTCCCCATTCAATCTTCTCTGCATTTACTGAAAAAAAAAAATCTGATTCTATCATTTCATCAGCCGGAAGGAATTCAACTTTTGTATTTCACAAGATTTCAGAGGTATCTGTGAATTCATTCAACATGCTTTGCAAATACAACAAAACATAAATTTATATTTTTGGGTTGTTGTTGTTTTATCAAATATACACACAAAAATTAACGAACCATTGCTTTTGTAGCATAAGTCACAAAGATTCTAAACTGAGCTCACAAAAATCTATCCACACTCTGTTCTAGCTATATTTCTGATAAAACAATGCAGTAACAAAAGCCACCGGTCAAATGACTAGCTACAAGTTCTTGAAACAACTCAAGATCGTAGAAAATTGGTATATTCTTGTGGATAACAGACTATTAAGTAGGAAAGAAAGTGAGGCTGTGATTGTATACGTATTTTTATTAAAGCTCACTGAACATGGTACGTCTTACTTCCAAAGAAACAGGCACTGGACTTTATACTTACACTAAGTATGACTTATTTTCAAGTAAACATATATAAGATTGGGCCCTTAAATTTCTTTAAGCATGACTGTATAAACCTTTTGAAAAACATGCTTTCCGATAATTTTTCACAGCTGAGTGGCTGTGCATGGACTCACACAGACAGACAGACAGAAGCATTTCTGAAGCAACTGCATGAAATAATTTGAATAATGGTGTTTTGGACACATCACAAAGAAACTTTATTCAAAGTCTCCACAGAGCCTTGGCCATCAGAAAAGATTTGTACAGTAGTTAAAGTTCACTGTCAAAACACAAATCACATAAAAAATTACAGCAATAGAACATTATTTGCCATTTAACTTGTATCAGTTTGACAACATGCCTGAGTTAATCAACAAGAGCATTTCAAATAATTTCTTAAAAAACAAAACAGAACTGAACATCAGCAAAACTGGTAGAAATATCTAGTTCAAAGCTGCAGTCCTTATTCCCTGACATGCCCCCAAGGCAGCTTATGGGTCTCTGTTCAGAAACCAACACCTTCAGACTGAAACGCTAAGAAAGATACCAACCCATTTGGGTCAGGCAGCATCCTTGTGAAGTTGCTACACTTCCCACTACAAGATAGATCTCCGATGCTAGAATGGAAGCCATTGGAAGAAGAAGGGTCCAGATGATTCTTGAAAGTTTGGCAAATAGCAGACAATCTGTATCCCACCTGATAAACAATGCTTTAGTACGTAGAAAATCAAAAGCTGTTGGATTGGGATTGCTGAATTGCAAGCCTGAGCAGTAGGACACACATGGCATGTTTTCAAAAAGCACCCTAATCTGTGCTAATGCCATCTTCCATTTGTTATTTATCCCTGTGTAAAATGAAGTCTTTAACTCCTGCCATTGCTTAGGTAAGGCACTTGGTATTATGAATTGCACTGACCATTTCAAGCATAAAGCTTGTTTTTAAGCAGCTTATGTTTCTCTCTGAATCATGCCTGCCTGAAGCATTTAAAAATAGATATATTTGCATTTTATTTCAGTATACTGTATTAGCCAAACAATGTACTACTATCATGGTCCCCTTAAAGATGAAATCCACGCAGTTTAATAAAGATGTAAACAATGGTCAAAAAATACATAAATTCCACAGCCCAGAAAATTAATTTCAAACACAGTATTTTTAAAGAATAATCCCATTGAGTCTCAACAGATGTCATCCAGAAAGTCATTCCTGCAATAGATACTCCTACTGTATACCTTATTCTCTAGAATCATTTGTAGATCCAGTTATGCATATGTATTATGACAATATATAAGTTGACTTCAGATTGGTACTATTGTATTGTGCTTCTGGAAGCATCAGAGGTTGTATCTGTAGCAAATTTAGGCTGTGATAAGTGCCTATGAACAAGCTGTGATCTGTGACCGGTACTGGGCCATGGCATACCAGCAACCGGTCCGCACAAACAAACAAAGCCCCATCCATTTTGCCATCTCTGGAAATGCTGTCATCTTCACCAACCATTGTGGCTATTTCAGAATCCTTCCATCTTTCTGTACATAATAATTTCGCTGCAGTTATCATTTACAAAAACTATCATACATAAGTCCTATTTAGTTGTCTGTCCATTAATTCCATCACGAAAAATTCTGGTTTCAGTTGAATATTAATCTTATTTCTAGATACTACACACACACACACACACACACACACACACACACACACACACACACACGGATTCCAAAAGATACTTTAGGAGTTTTCCAGAGATAGGAAATGTTGTCCATGAACCTAGTTGGGACAAATTCTGGATGATGTATGAACCAATTTGGTGTAATGGGGTACAAGTCTAGAAGCTGCAAATGTGTCAGTCGCACCTTATAGTATTAATGGAAAGCCATTCAAAGGCCTTTTATAAAGTGACCCCTATAACTTTGGGGCAGGGCAGGGCAGCAAATCTTTTGGAAAGTTGTGAGAAGTTTGCAAAGGACTTTACACCGGCACTAAATAGTGACAGTACCAGAGTAAATTTGGATAACATCTGAGATCTACTGCCATGTTTTCTTATTCTGAGAATTTAGTTAAGGACTTAAAAAAAAATTATATACACAGTAACCAACTTTGTACTCCCTCTTTTTGCTTCTAACAACCTTAATATTTAATTCGTTCAGATGCTATCATGGGATTTGATCACTCTTCAATTTAATTTTTTCCATCTCAAAGATTTCATCAAGATTTTAACCAACTTATTTTTTAGTTCAGTAAAAAGTCCCTATCCAGGTCAAATTATTGGCTTGTCATTTTTATTTCTACTTCAGTCATTTTCTCTGTCTTATAGTCCATAATATTTTACTTTTCCAGTACTTCTGCAAATTCTTTATATTTTGATGCTTATCCCGTCAGGCAAAATTTGTTTCATCTCTTTACCTTGTAAATCTTCAAGATGTCCTTTTTCAC